GTGTGATGCAATGAGTGATTCCCAAAAACAATACATCAACATAAAGGGCTGGAGAAGTAATAGACTATGAAGCAGCTGATAGTTGGAGAAAGAAATGGAGGTAATGACAAGGGACCAAAAAAGATCAGGCTAAAAAAGTCGTCGGATTGTGGAAAAATACAAAATATCACAATGTAATCGCCCGAGGATCTTCCAAATCCGCGGGAATATTTAAAATATAAATATTTTATTTATACAAGGGAATAATAAATAAATAAATGCTAAAGATAAGGATTCACTTAACTATGGGTGAAAGACGATATAAATGGTCGAACATATATAAAAGCACTAGTTTGCTCATTCCAGCAGTGAAAAATGTATCTTACGATTAAGTAAGGCAATACGTATGCCAATTCCACGGAAAAGGAAAAAACAGTAATACGCCTGATAAACAGATAAATCAAAACACTCGGAGCACTAGTATCTGCAAGATAACTAGGATAAATGAATAAACTCTAGATTAGGGGGCCTAAAGCCTCAAAGTTGATCAAACTTCGTTTTCACAACTTCGCCGAGGTGCAGGGAGAACTTGGAAAATGCATAAGTCTCTCATTCTCTGCTACAATAGTTATGATAATTTCGAGCATCAGACCGATGACTTGAAACAGTACCAGCCATTTCGCAATGCCTTATTAGGTAGCCAAACACAACCCTTCGATCCTAGCCACCATTTCCGTCATACTAGATGGTTTATTCACATTAAATGCCCTGAAGATATGCTAGAATATGGGCGATAACTTAAACGAGGAATGGTCTAAAAACCGCTGCCTACTGCCTCTTAGGCTTTAGAAAACCTGCCTCAGATTCTTCTTCACCTCCATTTCTTTATTCCACATTCTATAGCATCCCTGCTTATGGCTTTATATGAAACCTCTAATGTGGAGATCAACCACTTATTCAATTCTGAATGAAGCACAATGTTCTTATTTTCTCACGTTAGCAGTCCCAACATATTCGGAGGTTCTGCTTCCCTTAGGCGTGTCTACATGGGTTAGCAAATGACATAACCCGACATATCAGAGACCACTCCCTCCTTCAAGTGTATATAAAGTATATCTATATCTTGAAATTGGCATCCCTAATCATAAGCTATTCAGAAGTTTTTAAACCCTCTTATCTATGTCCCAAAGTATTCCCATCCCAACGGCTTTTTAAAGTTGATACTAAGTTTGACTCATCTCATTTCAATTATATTCTCTTAACGCCTATTTGTTCATCAACATTTGCTTCCTGGCCATGCCTCCTAATATTCAAGTGAATTACTTGATCCAAGTGCCTACTTTTTGATATTATTATTAATCTCCGAGTTTCTCCAAGCATATCCAAACAGTGCGGTAAATCATCGCTGCCAGCGAAAAGTCTGAAAATATACAGAGTCCATGGTCCGGCGTTGGGAATTATTATAACTACTATAGCAGAGGACTTTGGACGAGGAGAGCCTAACTAGTTCGCCCTGACAACACGACCAAATTGCGAAAACGAGGTCAGACCACTTCTTATAAATAATGTTGACTCATTCTCTACCATGTGCATTTATTCTTAATCGTTGAGGTTAATAGAGTGAACTTTCGAGGAAGTGAGGAGTATGAGCATAAAGAGCCTTAAGAGAAGACATAGTGAATTAAATGAACTTGAAAAATTAACTCAGATGATTCTTGGAGGTTCCAAAACGGTTGAATAGAAAATTGAACATGAGGATTTCCTTCACTAGCCAATTTGGCGGGTTAGAACTTAATGTTTAAGATGGCAGATAAAGCCTCTGGGAAGGTACCAAGTCAATGGTACAACCGTGAAAAGTAACATCAATTAATGAGAACCCCTTGTCACTCGACAAAGCTGCGTAAAAAAGCCAAACCAACGCTATATCAATGAAGGAAACTGCAACCAAACCTAGAGCCACAGCATCTTAGTAATCTTATCTACGATAAGGCACAATAATTAATCAACAAAGGAGTTAGCTTGGGCTCGTATTTATAAGTTATAATAATTTTCAATCAGACTTTAAATAGTACAGTCTAATGCACGCCTATTCCCATCTATTTATCTGCTAAGAGCAGGTACATTTCTACATACATTTGCTAAAAAGTTCGATTAAGTTGTCTATTACATAATAAGATGGAATTTTTTTTAATTTCAGGCTTATATATTTTCTTCTCAACTTTCACACTGAAAACAAACTCGCAAAAATTAAAAATATCAGTCTGTTTAGACTGGAAGCAAATATATTTTATACAATAAATGATTTAGTTTCTCTTAACTATTAAGAGATCTTTCAATAATTTCACTCTTGAATAGCCCCAAGAAATTATCAGATGAAGCTATATATATCGGATATGGTGTCAAAGGTAGAGTGCAGATCCATGTGAGCTTATAGCACATGTACCAAAAATAAGAGAAATTTTATGGGTTACGAAGAGAAGCCTTAATCCATGGATGGTTAAATGAACTAGGAATCAAAAACGAAAGGAGCACTATAAAAAAATATGCATACACCTGTTTGATTATAGATTAGTCTGAAAATAAGAGTGTGCTTGACTAATAGTAAACTTATGCTAAATAGCCTAGTCGTCTTTTTTCACGTGCCTAAAATCTCATGGCGTTTTTAAATCAGAAATTCGATCAAATATTAGCTAAATCCTAATAATAGAAAAATGCAAAGAAACTACTAATGACAGTTGGAAATAGGTTTTCATGATCTATCTGGTTAGAGGACAAGAAAGAAACAGTCGAATTTGATAAGAAACGATGGAAAGAGCATATACAATATTTTATCGATTCGATTAGCTTAATTACAAGATAGAAAGAAACATTTGATTTTGCAATCAACAACCTTGTAAAGTTAATGATAAAAGTTTTCGTTTATAAGTAGGGTTTCAAGACTAAATCTCATATTAATGAATAAACGTTTTCTTGCTTTCCTAAAAGGTCCAGGCTATTGTAAATGAATCCTAACTTACATTAAAAGGCAAAGCATATTGCAGAAGTCGAGCAACTATTTACAAAAGATGAAAATTAATTTTGGCGATCAAGAAAGAAACATGCGATAATACCAATTTCAATATAGCTTCCTGGCCTGCCCAATTTTTATCAGGCCTTAGATTTTGAAAATATAATCACATTAATTGCAATTACTCTTAACGAGACTTTTTGAAGTTTGTTATTTGTCTCTAAATCTTTTAAATGATCACAAGTTTATTTTACGTTATGAAATTAAATGGTTTTGACTTGTTGAACTAAATGTCGTTAGTATTAAATTGGTCGCTGTCAATCCTGTGGGCCGTTTCTAGCCGCCACTTTTTAGATATCTTTCAGCAATGATAATATACCTTTATTATATTAAACCTGATGATACTATGACAGAAGTTGCAGGTAGCTAGCTTAGTAAAAAACAAGGTTTATAAAGTGGTTCTTGGCCTAGCGTAGATATCACGGCTTATACAAGCCGCTATCTATAAAATAATTACTCTCAGATAAATTCACTTTTATTGCAAATTCGAAAGAATCTGCCTTCAAAATAATATAAAGTAACTATATTTCTTAGTAATATGAGAGTCTCGAAACTCTACTCCAATACTATGTGTTAGCTTGACCCCCCAAAAGTAAGTCATGATTTATCTTAGAATGATCTGGAAAAAAAGAATAAGTTTAAAAAACCTCAAGAAGTGATGGTGAAGGATCATTGCTTAATAGGAGGCGAAATCTTAATAAACCTAGAACGTGCAAATACTATGCGATTGAGTATTAATAGCATAAAAATTATGAGGGTACGAAATCGCATACCTTATCCCCAATGGGGCGGGCATTAAGACCAAGCGCCAGTGCACAAGCACTACTGCTCGAACCGACTTCGCTCAAACCTTGGGAATACTGTTGCATCGGAGAGGTTGGTGACTCAGCTGTAAAAGCAGAATAATTATTAGTAGTCGTATGGAGACCTCCACCGTCGCCCGAGCGCCAAGTTAAAGAAGAGTTTGCCATAGCTAGAGCTGAGTAGGAAGGAAAAGGAATAAAAAGCACGCCAGATACCTATATATTCACATTAATTAACTAAAGATGGAGACATAATTCATGCAAAAAATGTCCAATGATAAATATTAAAGCCAGCGAAAATTATTGATCAGGGCTGAAAAGAATAGCAAAGGTTTAGCGCTTTTATTTTCATGTTGAGCCTGGTCTATGGAAGTATAAAAGAGAAGGGACTTAAAGGACTTAATCTCAAATTGTGTAAAGTATCTGCCGGTCTCATATAAGCATATTAACAAATAATTGTCATTAGATAGATACAAAAATTATCATGACCTTGTAAGATTAGTTGATTAGCAAACAACTTCAAAAGAAGATAGGCCAATGAGTTTTGATCTTGCGTCTATGTAAACAATCATTTTTGTTCGAATGAGCTGTTCAGATTCTAGTATAAACTCTGAAGGAGCATCCATAGATCACGCAAGAAAGAAGGTTGAGCATAGCGACTACAGATAGATTTCTTAACCTATCCATTAGTAACACCTATTTTACCTTTGATGATAAGTTATAAGAACAAAGGACTTGCGATGGCATCTTGTTTAGCTCCCATTTTGGAGAACAATTATGTGACAAAAGTTGAGGAACACTTTCTGGAAGAGTCAATAATAACCTTTAAATTGTTAGCTAGATATATAGATGACTATTTTGGCATCTGGCTTAATAGTAAGGAAAGTTAAAAGTTTCCTACTTTTACTTAATGAAAGTGAAAGGAGTATTAGAAAACACAATGAAAATGGAAAAGAATAGGTCCCTACTCTTTTTGGATATTCCTATTATTAGAGAAAAGTTTAAGTTAGGAAGAGATATTTATTAATTTTCTTTCCAACTATAGTTACAAAGCTAAGGTTGGAATTTCTAAGTCAATGATCATTATGAGTATGGGAATAGAGGATAGCAACCATTTGACTAAAGAGTTGGAACGGCTGACAGGTCTATTCCTGAAAAATAATAAAACGATAGGCCTAAATGAGAATACTATCCCATTACTAAGCAAGGCATTTTCAGACGGAGACTATTTAGTCAAAGATAGACAAGCTGAGACCTTAGTCTCATGTCCTAATTTTGCCGTCAGGCCTTCTTTCTAAGAAGATAGGCGAATTGGTGAGGAAGTGGGGAATAGAAAGAGTTTTTAAAGAAAGCCTAACACTTATGCCATCTTTTAGAGATAAATGTGACCCATCATTGAGATTTGACTACTACAAGATTGTGTTCTTCTGTGGTCGACCTTACGTTGGTAATTGTTGAGCTTATTTC